CAGATCAGAGTCTTACTTCCAGATTTTTATTTTAGGGCTTCAAACAACAAGCTCTTGCAGTATCTACAGATCCAGAGCATCGTTTTGAACTTGCTCTTCAACTTGGAGAATTAAAAATAGCGTATCAGCTTGCAGTGGAAGCGGAGGTAAACATACAATTTTTGGTGATTTATACTAATTCTAATTACTAGCATGAATCTAAGAGGCCCTGTAAGAAAAGACAAAGGTATGTGGGGATGCAGTACAGCTCTCTGAATGCTATATAAATGCCTCCAACTTCCTTGATGAAGCTCTTCTGCCTGTAATTCAAAGGACTATAAGCTGTGGGATGGGGATAGAAGAATGTTGTCTGCTCAGAAAGCTACAGGAACTCCTGAAGAATACAAAACTTGAACCAAGCCTTAATCTCCAGTATTTGAGAGTGAAGAGGAATGGCAGGACTGAAGCCTCTGTGCCTTTGTTCCAGCCTCGGCAAGCTTTGTAGAAATGCAGCAGGAAGACTGACAGTTGGGTTTGTCCCATAGCCATTAATCAGAGAATTGATCTCTCAGTTCCTGTTGTAAAATAATGAAGTTAGTGATAAGGAATATGAACTTAGTTACAGACACACATACCTTTCTTTCATTCTGAAGGTTAACTTGTGAGCTTTAAGAGCTTGTTACTGTTTAAATCTCCAAAGTTATTTCTGCCTTCTCCATGTTTAATGAAAAACTGTTTACTTTATGTGATGGTATGGCTGTGTAATGATTTGTGTACAACACTCGCTGTGTCATGCTGTGAAGTTGCAGTAATCATAGTATCTCAAAGGCAAGACAAGTGTAATAATAGGATATAGTACCTTCACAAGTAAACTTATGTTTTTATATTAAATGCTCTGAAAATCTTCAAATGCTGTTCAAAAATGAGAGTTATTTTTTGTTTTTCTTTTCATCCCTCTCCCCCTCTTGTACTCTTAGTCAGAACAGAAATGGAAGCAGCTTGCTGAGCTTGCCATTAGTAAATGCCAGTTTGGCTTAGCCCAGGAGTGTCTCCACCATGCACAAGACTACGGAGGACTGCTGCTCCTGGCTACAGCTTCAGGCAATGCTAACATGGTGAATAAGTTAGCTGAAGGAGCCGAAAAAGATGGCAAGAACAATGTTGCATTTATGAGCTACTTCCTGCAGGGAAAGTAAGTAACAAGAGATTCAGATTGTTCTGTTGTTCTTTCTGAAACACAAAGAACCTCAGGTTCTTCACGTGGTAAACTACAGCTGACTTAAAACTTCATGGAGAAAGATTGTGGCATGTGCCTTTTCAGAAAATCTGATTCTATTTTAGGATGGGTGATACTCTTAATCTGAAATGAAAGTACTTTAATAGAATGAACAGCTAATCTGAAAAAAAAATGTCTTTATTAAATTTACTGGTTAAAATCACATTTTAAAATCTTTTAGGCTTGATTCATGTTTGGAACTCCTGATTAAAACCGGGCGTCTCCCAGAAGCTGCTTTTCTTGCACGGACGTATTTGCCAAGCCAAGTGTCAAGGTAACTTCAAAGCGTATGCAGAGCATGAATAGTGTTGTGGAAATTAGCTGTATACGACAGATATGGTTTGCATCTGCAGGGTTGTTAAACTGTGGCGGGAGAATCTATCTAAAGTCAACCAAAAAGCTGCTGAGTCCCTTGCTGATCCTACAGAATATGAAAATCTTTTCCCTGGATTAAAGGAAGCTTTTGTTGCTGAAGAATATGTTAAACAAAGTCTTGCTGACTTGCGGCCAGCCAGGGAATATCCCCTTGTCACTGTAAGTAACAAGTGAGAGCTCTTACTGTTTCTAGAAGAAAAACATTTGGTGCTGTGTAAATTCAGCTTTAAGCAAGTCAGAGCAAGCACTTAAACATTCCATTAACATGTTGGGTTTTGTGGTTTTTTTTTTTTATTTTTAGCCAAATGAAGAGAGAAACTTGCTTGAAGAAGCAAAAGGCTTTGAGCCTTCTGGAATAATGGCACCTCAGGTCAGTGTTACTACTAAATGATGAATTCTAAGAGGCAACTTTGATTGTACAGGAACACCTACCCTTGGTAGGTAGATTGGTATTTCACCGATAATGGACAAATTGGCTTGACTGTTGACTATTACTGGCCTGACTGTGAGCATTGCAGCCGAGTACTGTGTTCTTTTTTCTCAGATGCTTCTTAATCTACTTCTGTATCTACTAATGACTTCTTGACTGTGAAATTGTTTCTTTTCTGTGGTTCCTTACCTTGGGTCATCTTCTGTTAGCGTATGTGAGCAATTGTAGAATCTTACCATTGAATTCATCCCGCAGAAAAACAATTTCAATCGCATGTACAAACACTGCCTTAACTGCTGCTAGTTTTCTGAAAGCTCAGTAGTTGGAATGTGGAAACTCTTGCATATTACAGTAATGAAAAATGCTTTGTATTCTTTGCTAGTGTGTGTGCTTATGGAATGAGACTATTCCATAACTAACTGACTAGGAATCCTGCTCAATTATTTGAAAATATGTTCTAATCAATGTCTGAAGTAAATCAGACTGGGTGCTTTTTTTTTTACCACCTCAGTTGTCCAATTATTATGCAGAAAACACATGACTTAAATATAAGGTATAAGCGTACAGATGGAAATGAACACTTAAAATGATTTTCAGAGCTTAAACAGAAGATGACAACTTCTAATTATTGTTCATGCCAAATACTTTGTTTGAACAAGAAAATCAGAATGTTAGGGTTTCTTAGAGACAATGATATTGGCACAGCTCTTTGAGGCTATAAACTTCTAAAAAGAACTGCAAAGGGAGAGACAGAAAGTCACAACTTTGCATTCTGTCTCTGTTTTTGTCCTCATAGGAGATGCACTACAAAGCTTCATTTACAGTTCAGAGAAGTTTGCTTACTTTCACGTAGCTTTATTTACTACTTGTATATCAAAGCAAAATCAAACTTTGTGTGCACATTTGCTAAAGAAAATAAATACTATTGCAAAAGTTACCTAAAGAAATTAGAACTGGCTTGCATTAGAAACTGAAAACAAGACCACTGATGTTAGAAGCATATTTTTGCATTCAGTTAATGACAGAATTCCTTCAATAATAGTTGTCTCTTACAGCTGAGGCTGAATATGGGAAGTTTTGTAGGAGATTATTATATAATTAATCTAAACATGATTAACAGCATAGTACCATTGCTTCAATAATTCTATTAGCTGATGAATTATCTTAATATAAAACTCGTGCAGCAGTGCAGAGAGAAGGATGAATGTTCAACCATTATAGCGTATGGAATGCAGAGCTCAGGACCAGTCCTTGCCAAAACTGCTGTGACAGTCTCAAATAACCTAATCTCTTTTCTGCTGAGAACCTTGAAAATCACTTACTTTCTAACAGCACTTCAGTATTTGAAATTAACTGATACTTTCTGAAGGCTGTTTTCTTTCTGTCACTTCCATCATCAACTGCTTTAAATAAATGGTGGGAAAACAGTCTGCTGTGGAGTGAGGGCTAGAACGCTTACTGGCTGTGAAGAGGCGGCTCGAGAATTACTGAGGGAAACTCTGAAAGAGAACCACTGGGACAGGGGGATTATAGGTCTCCTGTTTACTTGCTTTTGTTGGAAAGGATTTAAGATTTGAAAGAACTTAAGGAATCTCTCTTTCATTAGAAGAAGGCTGAAGAACCAGTTCCATCTCCTAAACCAGAAGTGAAGATGACAGTTTTGCAGAATTCTGATCTACTTCCAACAAGAGATCAAAAGGTACTAAAATATATTTTTATGAACTGAAATACAAGCACTAAATCTGTTTTGCATGAAAGACTTCAACTAATAATGTGATTAACCTGAGCTACTGGAAAACGTTACGTTCTGTATTAACAGACGCAGACAGGTTAGGACAGCACAGTGTAACGCAGGCCAGTGCCTACAGCCTTCTGCATTTATAAGGAACAAAAGGTGAATTTCAGACACAGTTGGTCATGGTAAAAAGTTGCAACTCTGAGAGATGGTTTCCTACCAAGAAGGTAGCTTCTCTCTACGGATTATTGTAACACTAGTGTTTTGCAGAATGTGCATATACATCACAGAGAATCATAACATGTAACCACATTAGCATCCCCTTAATCTAGTCTTGCCTGTTCCTAGACACTGCTGGACTTGGAAGATGACTTGGATAACTTGGATCTGGAGGATATCGACACCACAGATATCAATTTGGATGAAGAGATCTTAGATGAGTGAACATACTTTTTAGATGACCAAATCAATTACTCCAAACAAAGGAATAAAGTTCTGTGGACTATGTGCTCCAAGTTAATTTGATTTTTATACTGCAAGTGGACCATGTACATGTAGAAAGAAGGGTAGACCCAGCAACTGTATGAAAGGAATCAGCTTCCTGTGTGTTGAAATTCAAGATGTTCCATGAATACTAAAAAACGTTTTCATTTATCAAGTGATTCAATAAACCCTTTTAAACATTCTATTCCTCAATTCTTCATTTACGGTAGTAATTCTACTATTCTTAACCCAGCTTCAATAGTGTGTATTGCAAATATTTGAAATGGGAGTATAGTAGCCAAGCACTAGTATTTTAACCTGACTTTTCTTGGCATATACACTAAGGTATTCGTTATTTTTTCACTGTGCTACTTAGTTTATATCTGTTTACAATCAGTAGTTCAGTTACTCTTCCAGACAACACTTTTAGCTAAAAGATCTAACACAACAGTAATATGCCTTAAGGGAAAGATGTGGTGTTAAACATGTTCCTAAATAAAGCTGTCCAGACCCTACACTTACTTCAATAAGTAAAGTGAATTGTGGGCAATTCCTTAGCTTCAAGATGCAACAATACAGGAATTCAACTTGGGGTATATTCTCACCTCCAAACAAAAGTCCTGATCACTGCTATAAGTTCATTTACAGAACTTCTGAAAATAACAAGCTGCTGTAGTGATTCTTACATATTTCTGTAAAAAAAATTCTAGAACCATCAGTTATTTAAAGTATTTATTATGGAAGCCTGTACAGAGAATCTTTATAAACTTCTGAACTAAGGTTTATTTCATGAAGCTGTAGAAGTAGCCATTGCTTCTTCATAAGCCTGGAGGGCAAGTTGTACGTAGCCTTCTTTCTGTGATTCTGTTTTCACAAATACCTGCAAACATAGCAGGAGAGAGATTAATGTACAATTAAGAGCACAGTTGCACAATGAGATTTCATGATTCCAGTGGTGCATCAGCCAGCTATAGCCAAAATCCTGATGCAGCTATAATTACAAAAAAAAAACCCCACAACCTGGCATGCACAACAGTTCTGGTTGTTAAGGTAAAGAGAAATTTAGACTACTAAATAGGCTTCTGCTGTTTAAAAGCTTTCTCTTCTGTAGTTAAGTAGCCTTAAAGTAAAAAAGCATACCTTGATCAGATCCACTCCTTGAAGTTTCCCCTCTTTAGCTTCTTTTGCCGACTGACATTCAGGATGAAGCATATGATACAGTGTAATTAAACTTGTAGCATCATCCAGCCTAAACAAATAAAGGCCCATTTGTAGCAATTACTTTCTCTTAATATTTAGAGAAAGTGTACTTTGCGGTGTACTTTGCACACCACAGGCTTTCATAAACTTCTGCTTTCATGGAGTATACAGTCATTAGAACATACAGCTAAACAGGCATCCTATCACAATGGCAACCTGGTCAGGAGAAGGAACACCAGAAGCACACAAACACCAAGGTGCACTAGGTAAGGTACGGAAATTTATCCATGCTGCAGGTTAAGCCTAATGTACTGTTCAGCAGCAAAAAAGCTAAAATCTTTGTAAAATACAATTAATTACCCAGTAACAAGTATTTAGTGGAACAACCACGCCGAAGAGAAACTTTCTGACATCGACTGCAGTAACTAGTATGTTTTACAGAAGTAGTAGTATAAATTGTGACACCTGGCCCTCAGCTGAATTTAAAACTGAAACAGCTGTCCTACAAAAATGTAAGCATAAGCCAAAAATGGGTGGGTGGCAGGTAAAGATGCTCCAAACTCTCATAATTCAAATTGTCCAGATATTTGAATTTTCCCTTTAACAATGCTTCCGAAACTGGATCTTGCCTGTATTTTTTCATGTCCTCGGGCATAAAAATAAGATCTAGCCACCTGTTGAAAGCATCCAACTTCAACAGTAGGAAATCACCATCACTGCAACTTAAGAGTTCTAATTGTACAAATTTCTCCTAGCTCTAGTAACATTTTGAACAATTAAATATTGTTTGCTGAAAATGAAAGCGTATCTATCTGTTCCAAGCTACTTAGGAATTGCTCTAAAACCCAGTGTGTCAATCTTAAAACACAAAATTGAGCTCAGTAGCATGAAATTGTTAGGCTTTAAGATCAGCACTGTCCAGAGCTGGAAGTGTACTGACAGTTACATGGGAAACAAAAGTAAAACCCCAACTACAAAAGGCTAATTTCTGCAGAAACCTAATTTAATATCCTACAGCTTCACGGACTGTAGTTGGTGCTTCCATTCAGCATCTGTATAGCTAAAAGGTAAGGCTATCCTAAAATTTCATACAAATGAAAACTTTTATAGACCTTACAGAAATACTGTTTTTATTTTCAAACAATAGTACTTGTTTTCTATTTGTTTAGATAAGCAGAATTAATAAGTGATCAACACCACTTACAAGTCTCTGTGGATCATATCTATTAGTAAGCCATCCGTTTTCTTTCTGTTTACTAGATACCATACCATTCCTCCGAAGTGTCTTGTTGAACGGAGCAGATCATACTTGGCGTGTTTCTCAATGTCATCATATGTCCGATGATGAACCTATCCACAGAAAATGTTTGTTTCATTAGCATAACTGGAGCTTGATGACAGTTTCTCCCCTCTACTTCACACTTAAAATTTTTAATGTTTTCAGACCTCCCTAAAGTGCAGGAGTAAGCCACAGGCTGAACCATGCTACTGTAAAGCTTTATACGTGTTATAATTCAGGGTAACACCAGGATAACCCAGTTGTTAGTACTTAGGCATAGACACCTTTACATTAAGAGAAAGCTAAATAATAGCTACACACTGAAAATCTGGGGAGCAAGGGACATAACCTCTGAACCTTCATTTCACTGCCATCTACTTGTAATCTATTTAAGGCAAAGAGGTAAAATTTTACTTTGAAGAAAAGGTACTTGAAAAATTGCCCAACAGAAGTCATGTTCTCAGTGATTCAAGAAAAAAAAAAAGTTCATCACAAGGATAACAGGTGATCTATTGGGGGGGGAAAGAACACATATAAAAAACAATTTTGATCACCAAGTAATACTCATGTTTACAAACCAAACTCTAAAGTTCTTCACTAATATTAATTATTTATTAGAAAACTGAAAAGTGAACTCACTCTGATATAGTCAGGTGAATCTGGTTCAAACTGAGCAATGCACATGTTAAGGATATCCTCATGACGGTCTTGCTGAAATACAGTCTAAAACAACAGTTCAAATTCAGGAATAGATTCTGTATCACACCATTCCAACTATCCAAAATCAAAACAGCAGCCACACTACTTCTGTTCTAGGCAACAATTACAGTAAGTATCCACTTAATCACAAGACCAAATGGATAAAAGTGCAGTAACTGCCTTGACGACACTAATACGATGTTTCTTGACTTTGGATTCTGAAAGATCAGTTCACATTTTCAGATTAAGCATACAGTTTCATCAAGGCGTAACAATTAAATTTGGATTTATAGCACGACAGAATATCTACACCTACACAGGATTTACCTGGTCCCAACCTGGAACTTTATAGTAAGTATTCCAAATAAGTTACAATGATAAGCAACTGTTCAAAACAGAATTCAAGCAGCCTGGCTTATTCAGAGGTACTCTGTCTAAATAGCAAAGTTTCCCTATCTGAGCAAAAGCAAGGAAAAATGATCAGTTTTGAAAACCAGGAAGCTCTTACCCCAAGGTTTTCATCCTTGAATAGAACTGGGGGAATAACTCTGCGCCCTTCTTTTGGGAAGAATATCTGTATCATTCTGTCTCGTTCTTCCCAGGTTGCTTTGCGTAATACACCATTGGGTTCTCTAACTACAATGAAACGCTCCTGAAAAGAAGGTGAAAAGAGAGCATTATCTCCCAAAGTCTTCTCATAGCTCTGGCTTCATAGCCAGAGCCATTGTAAAAAAAGATTCATGTTTGGCAAACCCACACTAACAGTATCAGTTTCTTTCTGATTGTTGCTATATGCTAATTTCATAATTTCTCTCTTGATACATGCTAATCAAGTGCTATGTTTGCATCTTAATTTTATTCTATGACATAACTGCGCATGTGCCTACACGAAAAGCTACAACTCTGTGAAGTTTAAACAGATAACATAACTAATACCTAGAGAATGGAGTTAATGTTGCTGCTGGCCTGATTTTATGCATTTAATAACATCTACTTAATTAAGAATGCAAGTGTCATACCTTTTTAACTTTGTTTCAGAGGTAGGTGCTAGAATCAAGCAAGGGCAAGTGCAAAACAAACAAACAAATAAAACAATATACTCAGAATTGTTCACAAGGCTATTTGATTTAGGGCTGCAGACAGGAAAGAGGAAGTTTGCAATACATTGAGACAGAAGAATAAATAACAGGTTCCTGGAGAAAGCTCTCGGATGGAGTAATAGATAGGAGACTTGGCAATTCATTTCACAGGATCATCACCATATGCACGTTTGAACTATGGAGACGACATAAAATCGTAACTATCGTTAAGGACTTTTCCGGCCTCTTATTACTGATACTGAAGACAATCTAGATGTTTCATTACACAAAGAAATCTAGCTGTCATCTTTACCCCTATACTCCACAATTTTATTTAATAACTGTTTCTTCACAGGTTTCACGTAAATTCATTTATCATTTACTCAGCTTTCCACCAGATCTTTGCAACTGTCAAGCAGCTCCATCTTTTGGTCTATGCACAGTACCAAGTAATCCAATTCCACAGAAAGCTTCTAGCAAGTATGGAAGAAGTCAGCACTCATACCGAATCACAAGCATATGCTTTTAAAATAATTAACTAACTATCCCACAGGCCTCCCCCCCCCCACCTGCTTTTGAGCACGGGAATGAATTTATCATTATAAAGTAGAAGCAAACATTTAGAAATGTGTCTTTGTATTGCCTTGTACCAGTCTGAATTTACAACTCCTCAGCCTTTTTGCAGACTGCTATAATGACATTTTTTAAAACCTAAAGCTTATTTTGAAATTAAGAATTAAAAGCTCTTAAAATAAGTTAATATATTGTTACTTACACGATGTGGAATGGAGTAAGTTAAATCTGTAAATATGTATTTTGTAGTTTCAGTTCCTTCAAGGAATTTGTCTTCTGCTAAGACATCATCAATTGGCTCTCGTTCTTTCAAAACAGGGGGCATAATTAATTTTTCTTTAGCTTCCTCGATGGCTTTTCTTGTGGCCTTCAAAAAAAAAAAAAAGTTTAATTTTACAATTAAAGACCCATGCTATTGGAAATCTAACACACAATTTTGAGACAAATATTTTTGTTCAGCGAGAAGTTTTTAATATTTTTTTTTCTTCTTCTGCAGTTAAGAAGAAGTGAGATGCTAATTAAATCTCCAGGTAGATGAATTGTGTGTGAACAAGATACCGCTACTGTTGACTTGGGCGAACTGCTGAAAGAAGTTCCAAAACTAAAATCGACATATACTACTGCAAACACCAAGTTTATTTCAGGTATTTTCTGGTTGTAAGTTTCCTCCAAAGCACAAACCACGTTATACAGTTTAGATATTGCTGCAATTGTGTTTATATAAGAACTGGTTTAAGTCAGGCCCTCTTCCTCATCCTGGACCGCGGTCAGACAACAGGTAGTCAAAGGATACCCAGGGCTATGATCTAACCAGCAGATAAAGCCATTTAAAACAATCAAGAAGCATAAAGGAATAATAAAGAAATTTTCACGGAAGAAGAACTAAAAAGAGTATTCGATCTCCTTCTATATTCCATAAAATCAGGAACAATTGGATAAATAGAATGGACCATTTGAAGTGAAGGAACACCTAATTTACACTAATTTAGGAAACGACCTGAACCAAAGGAAAGAAACTGAAATGTTTTCAACAGCAGCATTAAAGGAAGCAGAAATACGGACCGTTACACATTTTTATTCTAAAAAGCAAAGCTTATGTCAAAACGAAGCAGCGCAGCCTACCTCTTCCAGCTGAGCTTCTGTCATCAGCTTGTATTTGGGCGGTTTAAGCTCCTTCTTCACCGGCCTAAAAACCTTCTGCAGGTTGAGCCCCGTCATTTTGTAGAGCAGATTCT